AGAAAGGTACGGCCACTCGCTACACTCCCAAAGACTCGCTTGAAACGACTTCGACACTCGTTTGGATTGGAATGACTGTGAAAAGAAGTGCGAATATCGTTGAAAATTTCTGCAAGCGGCTTCCCAAATGTATAGAGGCCTAAGCAGAATAATTCGAAAATTTGTTGCAAGCTTTTTTTATCGTTATACTTGTCGATTCAATATACGCAGTTACTCCTCCAATTGAATGAATTTGTTTGTTTATGCAGTACTATCTGGGTTGAAGTAAATGGAAAAAATGGCAAAACTTTTTTTGCACTCTACATATATATATATATATATAAAGGATTAAGCTCTCGGCGTTGATCAGTCCCTGAGGGATGCGCCATGCATTCGACTTCAATTTTTAACTTCGTTTGAGGTGACTGAATGCATATCTGGCCTTTACAATGACTCGCGGTGGCCTCCCGCCTAACCGAGTCGGTGCTGCTTATCCTCGCAGACAAGTCTGAGACCTGTCTGGTACCAATTTACCGACCCCGGAGGGCTGGATGGCTTGATGAGCCATGAGCGCGAGATCGAACCATTGACCTCGTGTGCGACGCAGGGCACCTCTAACCACTGCGCCACATGCGCTCTTCATATATATATTTATATGTGTAAAGGTCAGATATCCACTCAATCACCTTAAGACGTCGCAGAAATTGAAAACGAATGCATGGCGCATCCCTCAGGGATTGATTAACGCCAAAGTTTTTTTATCCTTTATAGCCGTTCACATTGTAACTCAGCACATGAGAATGTGGGTGGCGATGGTAACTCACTCCTTGCAAAGGAAAGTCATTCTCGAGTGAAACAATTGCTCGCGCCATTGAATCCAACACCGTTGTCTGGACGAAACCCATTTAAGTTGTCTCTACATCATTTGATACTCGTTGATAGCTGGCTATCGAATCACCGCGCTGCGAAGAATTTTGCGTAATATACCACTAGACTTTACGTTCCATCGATCAAGCTTTATTAAATCTGTTTGGTTTTTCACAATATCTAGACTTTCAAAAGTGTCACCTTCAAAATAAGTTTACAATTAATCTCGTAGATTGCGACAAAAGTATGCAATGTGCGTAATCATAAATAACTTACGTTCAAAAAGAATTCATTCGAATGTCTAAATATGTATAAATTCCTTAAGATTTTTGACACCTTTGACCAAGCTTATATAAATAAATATATATATATGAGTATATATATATATAATATATAATATATATAGTACATAATTAGAATAAATATATATATATATAAATATAAAGAATAAATATATATAGTAGAATATATATAATATATATATGAATATGTATAAATATATATATGCATATATGTTCATGTACCTATGTGGGAGCATATATATCTATATAGATGTATATATATATATATATATATATATATATATAAATATCAGTGTGCCGCTCAGTTTCTGTGAAGCTGTTCCAAAATATTACGCTCATCGTCATATAATGTTCACTACTTTTACTAATGGTTTACTGAGAGTGCCTTTGTTCACGATGATTATGTCGGAATCGCCTATGTACATTAGGTAATGGCAAAACGCTACTTCAGATCAGCTGTAAGTCTTAGAAACGAAAGCATAAGTTTCCTTTCAACTGCCATGTCAGCAGGACCTTTGAAAACGTACAAAATTAACTACAATAACTTATGATTGGTATACGTATGATAATGAAAATTATAGAAGAATGTTAATGGCAGGTAGTGGTAATGCTAGACACCTTGCAGAGTATTTTTGAGCGACTAATAATGCACAACTGATCATTGATTCGAACTCGAGCCCCAAAGCACCTCCATATATTCATGGAGTATTGATAACAGACTAGTGCGAATGACTAAGTACACTTACTTCACACATTAACATCGGGCTTCCATAAACCATTTTACGGGTCAGATATTTGTTGAAGCGGCTTTACGAATGGAACCGAATCCACTGGGTTTTTCTGAGAGGTTCGAGCATATTGTCTTCGAAGTCTCCATAGCTTCCACTATGCTACCATATTGAACTGCTCTACAGTGATGATGTGCAGTTAGGCACATCTCATACTTACATGGAAATTGCGGATCATCACATGACCCATGTAATGACGACATCAACTCAGTTCTTTGCAATGGAGAGTATTCATGGTGATGATGACGATTTGGAAAATCAGAGGCTGGAAATACTGGCAGATGTGTTTTGAAAAAAACGGCTGAGATTGTTGTAAGGTTCAAGTTCAAAAAGAAGTGCTTATTATCTTGAAGCTATGGCACAATAGGATTTTTGCTGAGGTTTAGAATGCTCATTGCTATGACATAAGCGTTCATTTTTTGCTCTCTCTTGGTTGATGACTCCTGTACAAACAGATAAATATTAGCGTACATGCTTTTCCGCAATTTTCACTTTTATTCTACCCATCGGTCATTTTCGTAAAGGACTTGAAAATTTATCTGCCATTTTGAATCAATGGCACAAAAATTATTCACATAGAACTAATTCGTTCTGATTGTCATCAAATGAGACGGATAGAATGGAGAAAGTCGAGAATGTTGTTGTGGCTATCGTAATATGCTATCCAGGAAACACTGGGTGTCAACCGTGTCCGTAAATGAAGCAATAGAATGCCCCAATTGAGGCGTCAAAATCTCCATAATTGATGGATTCGTGTGATAGAAGTAAGCGAGGGTAGATGTCTGAGTGCTTTGCTAATGTATATTTCAACCACGTCTCGTGTATTACCCATTTTTCTTATGCTCTTTTTATGGGTGAATGGTTGTGGGATTTCGAATCAAATAGTGATTACACTATCCAACAGCAGTTATTCTACACGAGTTTCAATGTCAAAACATGCGAATAAATAGGTATTAACGTGAGAGAATCCTGCAGGAATAGGAAAGCCAACTCACAAGATCTATACGCTTCTCCCAAGGAAAGTTGGGAGTCGAACCAGAATCATGCTTCCTCGTAGTCTGCATCACCAACCAATCTACCATATCCTCCCACCGCCATTAAAAACTCGTATTTTAGCGTGCACTTGTATGCACTGCAGAGGCTCTATCAAAAAAATTCCAGAGGGATGTTCACTTAATCGTGGGAGTTTACTTCTTTCGAGATTTTTTTCCTTTTTTCTTCTTTTCTTGCTTTTTCTTTCATTTCTATCAGGAAGTAGGCCACTGTGTGACCAGCATAATCCCCCTTTCCTCCTCTCGATTACTGTGTCCGTATCGATTTTTTCGCTTAAAATGACGAATACCATTGCTTTGTTGTGGAAAATCGGCTGAATACTTAGCGATTTACTAACGGCGAGTTGTCTTTTTGTAAAAGATTTACGGTTCAGTTGAGCGCAGAGTCGACAAACAACCCTGCGGCCATCGAATGTTTACATAAGACGACTTTCACAGTCCTCAAGATCTCTTTAGTTTTACTGTTTTTTCGCCGTTTCATAACTTTGAAATATACATTTGAGAATACTGAATGGCGCGCAAAAATCTGACCCCACCCGCGAGTTTCACCCATCTAGCCGGCCGAACTCACCACCACTTTTCTACCCACTCTTTATTTGTTATGGTCTATCATATCTATTAGCAGCCCATCAGAAAGCAAAACCATAAATGGTTGGTTGCTGACAGCTGCGATAGGATATGTCGGAGAAGTGCGGGAGTAAAACGGCCGTTGACTCTGTGGTACAGTGCTAGCACCCGTCCACGGAGGTATGGGTGAAACGCTTTTGTTCGACTCCCGCCTTGGGACGAATGTTTAGCATGGCACTCAACATCTTTGTATAAGTTGACTCGTTGGGGTTACGTCATGCTTAGAGAGATCTCTTGAAAATCTCGAAGGCTGTCAAAATATACTTGTAAAATCTCATGGCTTTTATTTTTTAAGGCTGTGGCCGACAGGTTGTATCTTCGTCGCAACTAGGCGCGGGGTTGATTCCACTCAACACTCTCCGGTTATCAGTAACGAATGCCCCAGCATGGCTAGCCTCGAGATTGTAAGAAGACATGCTCAGCCATTATTCTGCAACGTTCATGAAGAATACGAAAAACGAATTGAATACTAAGGTACTGAAATGCTCACAATGAAAAGGTGATGCGAATCAGTTGAAGCAGAGTAAATCAAAGCAAGTGATCATCAAATATCATTTTCTCATGAATTTTTTCCTTTCAATCGTCCTATCAACTCTTTGATTAAAGGGTTACGTAGCATCAGCTATTTATGCGCTACAATAAGTAATATCAAGATTTCGTTGGTGTTCCTTGAAGTCTCTTTCACGAAAATATTTGGTCTCCGCCTGGAGCAGTAAACACCAAATTTCTCTCCATAGACGGCCTGAACGCGGCTGGTTCTCCAGCAGCCCTCTCCAGCTTCCAACTTTGCGGACCGTTATTAGTCATCCTTTTTTGCACCGGTATCATTTTTCTAAGCTCCGTCAATCTTGCGCGCCGCTTCACCAGCATTCTTCCATACGCGCCATTCGCGTATGGGTGGCAAGCGAACTTGTTACCAAGACAGCTCCATCATTGAGCAATAGAGGCAAGTTGTGCAGCAAAGCATCGGCAAAGCAATGTGCAATAGAGCGATACCGAAAACATACTGTTCTAACCACTCCTAATAAATAAATGTGGTGTTTGTTGTTTTCGTGCCAAAAGATATGGATCTACTTGATATCATTTGAAGGTTTTTTACAATTCAGATCATTTGAGTATGTTCATATTATTTAAAAAATAGAATTAACATCTTTTAAGGCATGAAGTGCGGTAGCAAATCAACAGCTTTGGTAGCACGGTGGTTACCGCCCCCCCCCCCCTCCCTCCCCTCCCCCAGTAGGATGAAATGGGAGTTCAACTCCGCCCGAGGTGCAATGTTTTTCATAAACTAACATCATTAGGTTTTCATATCGTTGTTATCGCTTTATCTTTTATTTCTTATCTGGTGGTCGCCGCATGACATAAAGAGTAATAGTAGGGCGACAGCACTGGTAGTGCAGTGATTAGCACGCGCTCCTGGAAAGTGTAAGACGCAGGTTCAACTCCAGCCCGAGGTTTTGACTTTTGCTTATCACTTTACACTATTGAATATTTATATGGTACTTATCGCTCGTTCCGATGTTTTTCCATGTGTGTTGGTCGCCTCCAGACAGAAAGAGTGATAGTAGAACAGCAGCTGTGGCCGTGGTAGTGTAGTGGTTAACGCGTGCCTCCGGAAAAGGTGACTGTGAGTTCAGTCTCCGTCCGAGGTTCAGTGGTTTTTCATATCACTTAACAACATTGGTTATCTTTGTCATTCTCATCGCTCTTCGTATTGTCGTTTTATTCCTTATTGATTGCCATCAGTGGCTGCGCCAACTATCATCGTCTGAATCTTCATGTTTCTGTTTCCAGTAGTCGATGTTCTAGCAAAAAAGAAGTGTAAATCTCGGCCAATCATTCGATTTTCAGATTTAAATTGTCGCGTTCGTCGTCGTCTAAGCTTCCTTGGAGATGCTCCGTACTATTCGTGTACTAAGCATTTCATACATATATCTAACTGTTCCACATAGCAGCGAAACGTCTGACCTTGAAATGGCTACTCGCAGGGTGAGTGATTTACTTTCGACACTTTTTTTGGGCTTATTATAGCCCTTCGCTAATCACATGACTCAAGTTGTTCTAGATGTCACTAGTAGGAGGCGCTCATCAAGTGATTAGTGACCCAAGCAATCAGAAAGGAAGTTTCTGGTTTTAACCCCTTCCTACAAAACGCTCTTGCATTCTTTAACAAACGCCCTAACACACCAGGGACCGTAAACCCGATGCGCTAGCCTTACTTTGCCACGCGCGCGGAGCGTCTCGGCGGCAAACAACCTGCAGTGGCGTGTACCCCGTGCCATCGCACACTGGGAAGAAGATTACTCTTTCGATTCCCTAACCCGACGCTTCACTGGGGTGCTGGTTCTTTCTGATTGTAAGAGAGCAAAAGAAAAAACGACCTCATTCGTTGTAGAGGATTTTTCCATGGGAGTGTTAGTAATGATTTAAAAGCTGAGACTTTAGACTACAGCCCTACGTCGTTAGTTTTTGTAAGGCTTTTTTGACGATGCTACAAAAAAAGATTTACTGCGTTGCAGATGCGCATATTTCACGCTGGACACGTCTCTATCTTTGGATTATTAGTCATCATTCGGTGGCGCAGCCGCTTGTGATTCCAACGGTATGCTCATATTCTGGAAAGGCCATTTCTTTGCGACGCAGCAGGTAAAATAAGTTGAATTCCCAACTCCAGAAAGGCTGTCTTTGGCTAACTCACGTGCCGGCGCGTGAGGCGACCATATCGATGGCGCGTTTGTTATTGTTTTTTCGGGCATATGAGCGCGTAGAGAAGTATCGCGTCAGCAGTTCACGTGGTCGCCCCAAATACAGGCACGTGAATTGGTAAGAGACTCCCTTGATGGGAGATGGGAACCCAGCTTATCTTACCTGATGCGATACAGAGAAACGGCCTTTTTAGAATATAAGCACACCGCTGGACTAGAATAATCACTGCTAATTCACAGAAAGAGCTCTCTCTGGCAAGAAAAAAACGCGTCTGCAATGCAATAAATCTCTTTCTGTGGCAGCATCAAAAAAAGCATTTTCGAAAACAATGAGGTGGGGCTGTAGCTTGAAGCCTCCGCTTTCGAATGGTTTTTTGCACTCCTGTGAAAAAGTTCACTCTCCAGCGAATGAGACGGTTTTTCATGTGTTCCTTTATAATCAGAAAGGACCGAGTTTTCCTTTCGGTCCGAATGTTTAACTAAGACCACTCTCAGATTTTAACATTCTCGTAACTATTATTCGAGGCAACATGTGATGTGGTCTGTTATAGGGCTGACTTCTAGAATCCGACACACGTGTTCCTACCTCGGCAGTCGCATCAGTCGGGCAGTGCCCTTCGTCTTTTGCCGACCCACTCAAGGCGCTCAGTCTCTATACTAAAAGTAAGCGACGACTGCATGAAACAGACAACATGACATGTTTGCTCAAATAGTAGTTACGAGATATGTTAAAATTCGAGCGCAGTCTTAGAAAAACACTTGGAACAAAAGGTATGATATAGTAGCAGTACCGCTCTAACCACTGCGCCACACGCGCTCGTAATGCCATTATGATGAGAGGTTTTTCTGGACACATCAGCTGACTATGTTGCTGTTGACGAAAGTTCCGACAATAGAATTTTCTTTCGGTTGCTGTAGAACTTGACACCATCTAATTATGTTTTCTTACAATTCAGGGGGTCTGACGAGCGTCTAAAGAACGTGTCTTGTTTTATTATGATTTGATGGAAGATTTCTATGCTGATCGAAAGACTCGCAATGAACAGTAAATCGAGCAAAAAGTAATTGGTATGCTTATACTGATCTTTCAAGACAAGCTCCCTCAGTTGAAAACAGACTCATAGCTACTTGTTCAATTGATTACGATGCAAAGGAAGTGACTAACTTTACTTTAGATATTGTGGTGAGAAAGGATTGATTGTGGTGGTTGCGATTGTCACAAAATTCTGTTAGTTAGCTGATGATTTCATCTTGTGCTGTAATTGAAACTGGGAAATATTCTTATGGCGGCTCGTTATTGCATTTTCCCCCGTGGATTCAAATACTTCTAAAATTTGACTCGTTTTTTTTTTCGGATTTATCATTTCAAAGGTCTTCAAACGTGTTGCGTGTTGTTCCAACTGCTAATGGAGATTTCATCTCATTCGTGAATGTCTTAGAATGCTGATTGCGCGGATATCTATGTAATTTTATGGATCGCCAAGCTGGGGCGTTTTCAGGTGACTGCACGACAGTTTTGGAGAGCACGTCGAATTAGCTTGCTTCTTAATAGCAGTTATCATTAGCCCTTTCTCCTCTTTCACATCTCTTACCCAAAATGAAAAATAAACAACCAAATACTGTTGGATTTGCCTATCGTAAATATTGTTTGATCAGCAGATGTTGTTTTATTTGAAACCTTGTGTTTGCCAATCATACGCTGTCAGTAAAGCTAAATCCTGCAGAAGGAAAGTTATGTCGGTTTTTTTATTTTGGGCGATGCCAAACTTTTAAGCCGATCCCGTTCTCTGGACGGGAACTTTTCGTAAGAGCGTTAGCAGCCATTCGATAGCTTAAATTTTTGCCTACATCTCACGTCACTAGTTTTTAAAGCACCCTTTTGTAATGCTGTAGTATCCAGAATAAAATGTTGTTTCTGACTCACCTTTCATCTTCATGTTTACCACGAGTGTAAGTGCAAAATGGGGTCGCTGCAGATACGGAAAGCATATCAACGTTTGGATGATTTTCGTTGTATCGAATCATGCGTTTTATCGCGCTCCAGCGAATGACATTGCCTCAAAAATTTCTCGTCGTCTAGCGTAAATGTACCGTTATGCCCTGTGATATACGCGTATGTTTTCCAAATGTTTCGTTTTTCTGTATGTCACGTTCAGAATTGCTGAGCTTGGAAGCTGAAGCACTCGATAGTTTTTCAATTCAGATGTCGCATACCGTTCACAAATGATAATGTGGTAATGCAATTATGTTGTATAAAGACGTGGTCAACCTTCTGGGAACAGCGCGCGTTCACCTGATTACACGCGTCTTGAATTTTCTGTTGTAGCTAGCTTTTCCGTGAGGCCTTTATTGGTTAATTGGTAATCTGAAAAAACGACAAATTTGGTTGTGTACTTGGTTTTAAGGACCGCCTTCATACTGCGCTGCAGCAGCGGAAAGAAAATTTACTCTCGGAGCGCAATTTTTCTTTGAATAGGGATGTAGATGGCCCTTCAATAGAATCATGATAGTCATTTGAAGCTGAGAGCTCGATTATTTTAAAGCTACATCTTTTGAAAAGCCGTCCACGAATCCTAGCTGGCGGCATCTGTTCACCAAAAAGTGAGGATAATCCTACTTTGCTGCTTAAACGCGTAAGGAAAGCGTTTTTGAAGATCTATTACTTTACTAAATTGTCCAATTTCAAGTTTTGAATGACTTTAAAGATTCTAAATAAAAAGCGAGAAAAGGCCATTTCTTCAAACGTTTAATACAAAAGCGGCACTGGGTGGTCAACCATTATGTCATCAGATAACACATGTTCCTTTGCAAAAATTCGACAAATTTCAGCTTAGAGTTTGTAGAAACCAGTTCACACTTTAGGGACCATTGACCCAACCCTCTGCGTCACTATTCCCCAGCGTTTTGAGTTTTGAAATGGAGAGTGCTGCGTGAACAATGGCACGCTGTGGTTGGATGAAATTGCTAAACGCAGCATCGTGAGGTTAGAGACGCAGGGGAATTGGTCCATGGTCGCGAAATAGCTGGTAGGAGGTTGATTATCAAATCAAAATAAAGCGTTCTGCGTTCATAAATCTCTGAGGGTGCACCAGACGTTCGACTTCATTGAGTATCGTTTGAGGCTATTGAACGCATATCTCTGGCCTTTATAATGGCTGGCGGTGGCCTACCGATATATCAAGTCAGTGCTGCTATCCTATCAGGCAACTCCGGTACCATTTTACCGACTCCTGGGTATGGAACGCTTGGTGAACCATGACCGCGAGATCGTATTATTGACCACTTGTGCGGCACACAGCACTCTGAGCACTACACCTAATCGCAGCGAAGAATATGAAATGTAAAATTACTAGGGAAATTGATATCTCTGTGTGTGTGTGTGTGTGTGTTGGGGGGGGGGGGGTTTAAAATTCAACATCGATAGGATTGCTAAGCATTTTTACAAAATTGCAAGGATTCTAGTGGGTTCAATTTGCGTTAATGAAATTCACTGCTAGCTCAGATGTTTTTCAGTTGGTTGAAAGCAGAGAGTATATGACCATTGAAGCTGTGTTTTCTATGAGTTTATCTTTACTGCTCCAAAAATTTCTTTGTTTGCTCTCGAAATTTTCTTTAGGCTTACAGTGAATTTATGTCTGTTATCCTAGAGGAAATTTGTAACGTGTTTGAATACCTTTAAATCGACTATTTTGAGGCCTTGCTAAAAATTAATAACTTCAGACAGTACATTTCGGGTCTTTCATGAAATTTGT